AGTCCACCTTCCACTTGTAATCTCTCATCCCCTTGAGATGTGTTCTTGGTCGAAGGAGGGTGTGGCAGCGGCAAGTGTGGGTCTGGAAATGTGTTCTTGGTGGGGACAGGGCTTGGGGACCCTGAGTTCCTGACATCGAAGGCTTATAGAGTTATTCAGAATGCTGATCTATTGTTGTATGATAGGTTGGTGTCCAATGATGCGTTGGAATTGGTTGACTCTGGTGCTAGACTTCTCTATGTGGGCAAGACTGCTGGGTACCACAGCAGAATCCAGGTAAAACACTAATCTTTATCAGCATTTCTTGTATTAGCTGAAACAACCTTTCAAATTTTATTTTGATTTTCAATTGAGTTTCTGATATGGGTTCTCTCTTACTATAAATTTGAAATCTTTAGGCAATTTGGTGAATTGGGTATTTGGGTTTGTGTTAATTTGTATCTGGGTTAGAGAAGTGAATTGGGGCTTTACTTTGGGGTCTTGGGAAAGAGCTGAATCGTTTTTTCCCCCTTTCAGGAGGTGCTACATGAATTTCTACTGAGTTTTGCTGAAGCTGGAGCTAATGTTGTGAGACTAAAAGGAAGGGATCCACTGGTGAGTTCCTACATTGAAGTATGACAGTTTGTATTTTGACAATTTGACTCTTCTATGAATCCAAGCAATTTTTTTTTCAGTACTTAATACTCTTATGTCAATGACAGTGGTGTAGATTTTTGTTTATATATCCCAAGTATTCAATTTGATATATGATAATGTTGTCATATGTTCAATTGGTTGTTGCCCTGGACTCTGCATTCACCATTTTTTGAATTAATTCTCTGTTTTTCTTGTTAGAGAAATTAATAGTCAAAGAATCATGACAAGGAGTTTATTAATAGTCAAAGAATCATGAAGTGAAAAATTATAAACAGTGAAGAACAAAATAGTAGGGAATTGAAAGATAAAACTAGAACTTTATTTCATAATGGTGTTTCCTCCTCAACCTTAATCTAGGAGTTTAGGTAGACATAATTAAAAATAAAAACAAAACAAAGAAAATAAAATACATAAGAAATAAATGAGAACTATGAGAGGTGAGGAACAACTACAAGAGAGCCCAAATAGCTCTCGGTTCACTCCTTCTCTCTATCCTTGCTCTCTTTGCTGTAAGGCTCTGTATCTGCACACCCACTTCACTTGCCGTTGTTCTCTATTTATAGAGGTTGGAGACCTTCAAATTCAGCTGCAAAATTCAAGTGCTGGCTGCCATGTTTTGTGCTCTCTTCACGTGGGCTCTGCATTGGTCATTCATCTAGTTGCTTTTGTTGCAATATTCTCTTGAGTTAGCTGCTACACTCCCTACAACCTGACAAAGCTAAAGTGTGGCGTCCACCAGCTGCATCTCATTTGTTAATTGCCTTTCTTTTCTTTTGTTTGGATGGAATTCACAATAAAGTGTTCAAACCTTGCCCTGCAATATTCTCTTAAGTGGACTGCTACATTCCTCTCTTTGGCTGGCGGCACTTGCAATTGCACATGGGCTGCAGACTTACACTTCAAATATAAATATTATTTCTTCTTTCATTCTTCACATCTTGGCTGCACTGTGAAAATGATTATTGAATTATCGCAACAACTTTGGATGGCTGCATAGATTTTAACTTTTGTTGGAATTGGGCTCCACTTGTGTTTACCAATTTCAAGTCCTTGTGTGTTTAGAACTATCTAAAACTTTGGAATTCTTATTAGTTGGTTAATAATAGGTTGATAGTTTTACTGATTTTCTATTAATTCTTCTTTTGTTTATTTATGTGTCTAGCCACAGTCAATATCCTTGGAAGAACAAGTAGACCACTAATTGACAGTACATAAAGACCTTGTTAAAAGGCTTTTTTCTTGTAGTGAGTTAACTTCTTAGATGGTTTAAGATGTATTTGAATTATTTGTCTAGATGTTTGTACATGATTTTTTCTGTGTAAATGAAAGAAAAATGGATTTGTTTTGTCAATTTGTTGTGTAAGCACATCTTTTTGTTAAATGGAGGCCATATTTTCTGCCTATATTACCACGGGAAAGATTCTTTTTTAGCTTTTTATGCTTTGTATGTACACCTTCATTTTTAGGAGTGTGATTTTTATTTTTTCATGCTTCTTGACATTTAATCCTTTGATGGATTCTGTTTTTCATCCTTTTATTTTCCTCACCATGGTCACTTCTTAGATATCAAACATTAATTCTGTTTGTCTTCTCACTTTAATGTTAACAATTTTGTATTATGTTTTATATTTTCTGGCAGTGTATAGCTTCCCAGCCATAAATAAGGATGTTCTTCCCCAATGGTAATTTGGCCTTTTATCTCTCTGTTAAACAGCTTGATGTTCTTCCCCAATGGTAATTTGCCCTAATTTTATATCTTCTATATCCATTTTTATGACCATTTTTCTTTTTTATGACAGTTGAACCAAAAAGATCCATTCTTTTTGGTTGTCGTTGAGGATCGTTTGCAATTTGGTTCAACTCTTTTTCATCTTGGGACAACATTACTTTCAGTTGTAGAAAAATTACATTGTAGTTATGAGAAGAAAAAAAACATGTAATTATGACTATTGAAAACAATGTAATTATTTTGACGTAATGGAATGAAATTTGAGTTCAATTTACTTGTGAAACTTTGGGATCTTGAATGTATTATTTTGCTATATTATACAAGAAAAGAATATAATGGGGAATAGTAGTAATCAAGTTGAATTTAATTGAATTGAATCCTGGTCAGATTATATGTGGGACGTACACTCTCACAATTTTCATAAATATATGAGGAACAACTCCCCACAATTTTGATAAATATGTGAGAAACAACTCCCCACTGACGCTTGTGAAATGTGACCAATGCGGCTTGTCACCGATAGATATAATAAGTGACGAAAGATGCCTTGTGCAAAGGTACTATATGTGACGAAACATTCGTCACATATAGAACCATTATGTGACGAATCATAAATTCGTCACGTCAAACAATCTGTGACGGGGTATAGGTGACGAACCTTGTGACGCCGAAAATGCGTCACATATTGTCAA